TTCACCGTTTCAGGCTTTCATACGGCTGACATGGAGAATGCGCAGATACATCTACGCCTCCCCGAGCCACCTCATCGCCCGGCTTACGGCGCGGAATATGCATCTACTTGCTTTGCGGATATCGACGTATCTGTCACTCAAACCGGATGCAGTCCTGAGGCATTGGGCAAGTGCCAAGATCACACGATCGCGTCCGTCAGCAACGGGCACCGGTGCTGCAGCGGAGCTGGGTGCAGATGATGAAGTGTGCAAGCTCATCGTGGGAAAATTCCAGCAGCTGGGCGGCGCTGATGTCTCTTATGCGGAGATCGCGAAACGAGCTTGGGAAGTGGGCAGGGCGGGACTTGCTACCAAGGTATGTTTTGTTTGACACGTTCAGTGTGTACACGAACTCAGACCAGGCAGCTTCTTGATTACGAACCTCGAGCTTCCGATCAAGTTCCGCTCTTATTGAGCATGAAGGAGGACAGACTCGCTTTGGTGAAAGCTGTCGACAGCGGGGACACTGATCTCGGTGAGCTCTACTCGATGTGTCCATGTGTCTCCTTTTGAACAGGATTCAAGTCTACCATGTGCTGCTACATCTTCAGAAACGACTGTCCCTTGGCTCTTTCTTCCGACTGCTGGAAGATGGCGGTTCACAGCTGGAGCCAGCCAGCAAGCTGTTGCGGGTGTATGCCAGAGAGCAGAACCGGGAGATGCTCAGTGATTTCTTCTACTCTGATGATCGACGAGTGGAAAGTGCTGTCTTGTCTCTGGAGGAAGCGGCAAGAGCTACTGTGCGACGATCCGTCTCTCCCTCGAGCATGCCGCTGATTGGTCTCAGGACCCCGCTGCGAAGATTGCTGCTGTCCGATCTGCCAACAAATCTTTCTCAGAAGACAAGGAACGCGGATTCGAATCAAAGATGACAGACGAGAATGCCCGCTTGTTGGCTCTGCAGCAGCAGCTGGAGAAGGAATCCGACGGCAAGGTCCAGTTCTTCGGGCTCAGCGTCAACGATACGATCACAGCGTGCATTGTCAACGGCATGGGGAAACGGGCTGACAAAGTCAAGTCGGACTTCAAAGTGCCAGACAAGCGGTATGATGGGTCTCTTTTGTGCCTATCGCACTGAGTTTGACCATGGCCATAGGTTCTGGTATGTGAAACTGCATGCTCTGATCTCCGTCAAAGACTTTGAGGGCATCGACGCCTTCGCAAAATCGAAACGCAGCCCCATCGGCTACGAACCTTTTGTCCGGGAGCTCGTGGCCGCCGAGTTTCCCAAGGAGGCGGTGCAATATGTCGCTCGCTGCGACTCGCCGAGACGCGCCGATTTGTATGTCGAGTGCGGAGAGTGGCGATCGGCTGGCAAAGAATGCAAGGATCGTGGAGACAAGCCTAAACTGGAGTGAGTGGGATATAGTCTGACTGGGTGCCATATTGACGACACTGTCTGCCAGAGCTATCCGGCAGAAATGCCCCAATTCGTTGATTGCAAGAGAACTGGATCAGATTATTGCAAGTATGAAATAGAAATAGGTGTACATGAGTATCGCATCACATCTATCTGTGCTTCATAAAACATATCCATCATGATGTGCTGAGATAACTGTCGTCATGGATCTGCACTCTCTTCAGCAACGAGTCTGTTCTTGGCCTTCAGAGAGCAATCAATACCAGACTATCAGCAGGGAAAGCGACCGTGCGGACCTGGAGTAGCAAGTCCGAATCGATGCTCGGTAGAGATTCCGGCTCTTCACCATTCCAGGGACCCACCTCCCACCGCGTGGGAGGATCACCTATACAGAGGCACAGATCCTCTGGCAAATGAGCGCCGTGTTCCGAATTGAAGCGTTCACGGACATGAGATTCCTCTGTGTGCCCCTGCGTGAACGAACCGCTCAAGCACGGAAAAAGGACTGACCCTCTGTCATGGCCCCCAATTGGGAATTCATCCCCGCAACTATCTTCTCTGCGGCCTCGCGATACTGTCTTCGTCGTGCAATTTCGATCAGCAGCTTATTGAATGTCGTCTGATACGCGATGTAACGGTCGTGCAGATGCTCGACGGTGAGCAGATGCTGGTCCAACATAGCCAACTTTTCCTCGCATTCGATCTCGAAGCGAACGACAGATGAGCAAAGCAGCTCAGGCACCAACGATTACTGCTCACCTCGACAGACTCTTGCGTCTGCAGCATGTCAGTCATGATCTCGCCCAGCTCGTCGAGGTTGTCCAGTATGGTGTTGAGATGGATGAGATTGCTCCGAGACTCTTCCTGAGAGTCGGAGAGCACTTGACTTGGGTTCTTGTAAGAGTTGTAGTTATGCAAGACATGCATTAGCACGCACTGTGCGTTGATGATAGCCGTCAAACATTCCTCTAGCTCCTTGATGATGGAAGGTAACTCGTCCGTGTCTCTATTCATGGCTTGAACGCGTCAGCTTGAGACTCGGCAGGGGGACTATTGGGCGGCATACCTTGCAGATCTTCCTCGCCGAATGGCTCCCCAGATTCATGATCGTTCAGGGCTATTGCCATCTGCTCGTAGTGCGCTGCGAGACTCTCTAGATGGCGCGCCATGACAGTTATTGTGTTGTCCTGGTTCATTATCAGGTTATTAAAGGGTGGGAGATCAGGCATGTCGGGCAGCGAGGCTGTGATGTTCTGCGCAGTTGTAGTCAGGGTCTCCGGGAATTCATCCGTCTTAATTAGTATGTCCTGTGAACGGGAGTTGTGTGTGAGAGAGGCGTTGCAAGTGCTAAGCAAAGATAACCACATCTAAGATATTCCTCTCTTCCTCCATCTTCTCCAGGACGTCGTCAATTGCCTTGTCGTCGACGAAGTCGCGCAAGGTCTTCCACGCCGACCGGTCCGGCGGCAGCTTCTTCGCGTTCTGTATTGTCGAGGAGAGACTGTGACGCGGCGACTGGGATGCACGAGGCTCTGGTTCCTCGTGGTCTGAGTGCTGGCTTCCAAACAAGGACGACACGGATGAGTGCTGGTGGAAGTCGGGTGGTACCACTTGCGTGCCGAGAGATTCCAGGATAGCGTCTAGAGCATCTGCGCGTATCGTTCGACTCGAGTCCCACTCCTGTGCAGAGCGTGTCAGATCCAATGCGTTGGATTGAGAAGCCGCGAGGGAACGTGCCTGGACGCGTCGACCCAGGCGCGTGCGTTTATCCTCGATGGTCTTAGCAATGTACTTGGTCAGCTGTAGAATACTTCAGTATCTATGGAAGGGCTGCGCGAGAATGGAGGACCTTGAGCTGCTCAAGCACGCCGTCCGTGAGCCACCGCACTTTCGCGTCGAGTACGAGCACATCCACAGCTGATTGCGCGGCTGAGTTAGACAGGTCGTTGGCCCGCGAGCATATCTTCTCTCCGTCCTGAAGAGCTCTCTGAGACTGGAGTACGAGCGAGAGGAGATGAGGTTGTTCGATAGTAGTAGTAGCGTCCGCGGGTGAGGACATCAAGCAGTGCCATCACTTGACTCGGCCGACTTCGAGACTTCCCCACGGGGCGCTCGGAGTCCCTTTCCGATCATGACATTGACCGTCACCGCACTGAGCCCTGGGAAACATGAAAGTACCCACGCAAGCCTGGTGACCACTGGAACACGGTTATAACCTCTGCCGAGTGCCGCTCTCACCAAACATCTTACTACTCTCCCCACATCTGACTCTCGACAATGGGAAAAGGCCGCAGAACGTTCATCGTCGGGGCGGGGTGCACCGCGTTTATAAAGCCTCGAGCGACTAGGACGACGGAGGATATGGGACTGGAAGCTGCTACCAAGGCTCTCTTGGACGCTGGTATGCTTCGAGCCGGCGAGACAGCTCTCGTACTTATTGACAATGCGATTCAGGTATCACATATGATGCGATTGAGACGGCTGTTGTCGGGTACTGCTACGGGGACTCTACTTCTGGCCAGGTAAGCCAAACGAGGCGATGTGTACTCCTTGCCTGACCAGGTGACATCAGCGGGCATTGTACAATCTGGGCTTGACGAACATCCCTGTGACGAATGTGAACAACAACTGCTCGACCGGATCCACGGCGTTGTACCAGGTGAACCTTGCTGTCAAGCACGGCCAGGTCGACTGTACGTCTTACGTTCTCACACGAGATCCCCAACTCAAATCAGCTCAGGCGCGCTGGCTCTTGGTTTCGAGCGGATGAAGCCAGGTCTCGTCATTTCCCGTCCTCCGAGTATGAGACGCCTCTGAATGTAGCACAGGTTCTCTGGGCACCAATTTCCCTGACAGAACTCCGCCAACGATGCTCCTCAACAACCGCAGCTGGGAGATCGAGAAGCAAGGTCTGGGAGAGAATCACGGACCAGGTGCCCCACGCATGTTCGCCAACGGAGCGCAGGAGTACTTCCAGAAGTACGGGGGAGACATGGAGACGCTCGCTAAGATTGCGTCCAAGAATCACAAACACTCGGTCAACAATCCGTACTCCCAGTTCCGTGACGGCTGGAGCGTCGAGCAGGTCATGAAGGCTCCCAAGATCACTAATGAACTGACCAAGTTCATGTGCAGCCCGACTTCCGTGAGTGCCTGGAGTGATGCTGGTCCGTACTAACGCTCATTTTCCACCGAAGGACGGCGCCGCTTGCTGTATCGTCGCATCCGAAGACTTTGTGCATGCACATGGGTTGGAGAACCAGGCGATCGAGATCGTCGCGCAGAATCTGACCACGGACGGGCCGGCAGCTTTCGAGAGCAACAGCGCGATGGAAGTCGTCGGCTATGGCATGTCAAAAACATGTGCAGACAAGACATTCCAAGACGCCGGATTCAGCGATGGGCAGGGCAGAGACCTCGTCGGCGTCGTCGAGCTACATGACTGCTTTGCGGCCAACGAGGTCAGTTTTCTCTTGCCCACTCAACATCTCACTGAGAGCTCAATGTCGTGCATCAGTTGATCACCTATCCTGCACTCGGTTTGTGTGCGGAGGATGAGGCTCACAAGATGGTCGAGCGTGGCGACAACACTGTATGTCATCAGAGTACTCTCAGATCAGTTGCTGACCCCGGGGTGCTCAGTATGGAGGAAAGTACGTCGTTAACCCTTCTGGCGGATTGGAGGCCAAGGGACATCCGTTGGGCGCCACTGGTCTGGGCATGCACTTTTACATCGCCATGCAACTCAGAGACTGGGCCGGCCCTATGCAGGCTCCCGGTCTGTTCGACATTGCGGATTCGCGCGGGAAATATGGTCTTGTGCATAATGTCGGCCTCGGCGGCGCTGTGGTCGTTTCGCTGCTCCGCCGGCCTGAGTTCTTCAAGCCCGGTGGAGAAGACGGCAGGGACAGGTCCGTGGCTTCAAATACGACGATCTATCGTGTCTCTTATGACATCTGACAGACTGGGATATAACCACGCGCACAACTGCCGCCCCATTACTATGGCGGATGTCGACAAGGTCAAGTCGAAGAAGAATTCTCCGTACTTGCTCGAGCACGCGAAGCTGTGATGGTATTCCTCTTTATCCAACATGTAGTCAAGTAGCTATCTGTGTAGTCCACTGTCCGACGCTTGTATCGCTTCCAGGAGATGTTGAGGAGTTGGCTTGCTGGCCATGGCATGCACTGTGAGGTGCGCAGTCTCCCTCAAGAAATCCGTCGTAGTCGGTCCAATCGAAGCTATCCGTGTAGCCAGCAGTCGATTATCTACGCCGCGAAGATCGAAATGTTCTTGCAAGAATGGTATTGTGAACTCGGAACTAGACGGCGCAAAGAAGACGATCCACCACAGGGCAGTGTCTGCAAAAGATTGAATCGGTCGTTGATAGCGTCGACTGCGAAAGTACCCCGATGTATTGGTAGTCTCAACACTGCGTCCAGATCCTCTCGAAACCTGGACGATCCGCGCGTCTCGTACACCTGCACAGTGTGCAGTTGGTGTCCTCCTGCAGCCAGAATGTCAGGCAGCGTGTCCCGATTCTTGTCCCCAGTCAAATACAACAGCGGGCGGGGATGGGGCGGGTCTCCCAGGTCATGCAGCACAAATCTGGCCAGTTCCTGACTGGTCCCCGACGACTCCCCCCGCACGTCACTCGGAGCGTAGGGGGATTGCGGATGCGCGGCCCGGACCGCAGCCAGAGCGGTCGCAGTGGTGCTCCCGACGACATAGAACGGCGTCCCAGTCCAATCGGACGCCTGCATCGTTCCTTGAGCAAAATAAGCTGTTAGTACCGCATCATCTGCCGATTCAATCTCGGGAAAGACCTTGCGTTGGCCCGTCCTCCAGAGAGTCGACCGCCGCGCCCCATGCCTCGCACGCGCGGGCGCTTGTGATTATCACCGCGTCGTAGGTGCAGCGGCCCTGCTCGCGCACGAGGGTGCGCAGTGCGTCGCCGTTGACGAGTGCGGTTTCAAGGACCGGGAGCGAGGTGCAGAGGTGTCCCGCCGCAGAGAAAGCGGTCTCATAGCGGTCAGGGGTACCGGCAGGTGCTCTGAGCAGGAGGACGCTCGTAGACATAGTGAGAACCAAAACCCCGGCCGCTCACCGGCTGGCTGGGGCCCGATCTCGAGGCTATCTACGCGATCGATCTTCGCACGGTGACCATCGGCCGAAGTCACGTTCGGCTTTGAGTGTAAGTATACTGGCTGCTACTGCTCGTCTCCCCACCATGGCGCCGTTCAAGAAAGAAAACCCCGTCCACTCCATGTATCTTGTCTCATTCTAGAAAGGCCTCGCACCGTCTCAACATTGTCATTCCAGGATCGCAGGGACAACAGCCGGTGCCATTGAGGCGTACGTCTCCGCTCTCGCCGCCCACCCCCACTCAGTGCTTTCAGCTCGTTAGATTCGTGACCTACCCCACTGAGTTCGTCAAAACCCGGACCCAATTCGGCGGCAAAGTGCGTCGCGTCCCGCGATGGGCGGCAGAACGGCCCTCTCTGACGCATCCTCCAGAAAGAAGGCCCCATTGCCATCATCCGGGAGACGCTCAAGACCAAGGGCGTGACCGGGCTCTACTCTGGATGCTCCGCACTGGTGGTCGGGAACGCTGCGAAAGCCGGGGTGCGATTCGTCTCGTACGACCACTTCAAGAACGCGCTCGCGGACTCTGAGGTTCGCGCACACTACCAATGTTAGAGTGTGGGCAGGTGGATGACGGTGTTCAACAGGGCAAGGTTTCGCCCGCACGCAGCCTACTCGGTGCGTTTTCCGGCTCTTCATTTCCGCAAACATAGAACTATCGCAGCGGGCCTTGGTGCGGGAATGGTCGAGGCCGTCCTAGCAGTCACTCCCTCGGAAACCATCAAGTGCGTCCGTCTGCCCCCATCCATCGGCGCTCTAAGAACCGCACACGCAGAACCAAGCTGATCGACGACGCGAAACGCCCCGTCCCGCAATACCGCGGACTCGTGCACGGCACCGTGTCCATCGTCAAGCAAGAAGGAATCGCAGGCATCTACCGGGGCCTGTTTCCTGTGGTGCGCCTGGCCAGTCTTCCGTTTTTCCGCACATTTACTCACCTGCCCGGCTTTACCTCTACTTTTGGGCGTCCAGATGATGCGCCAGGGCGCCAACTCCGCCATCCGCTTCACGACGTACTCGACCCTCAAGCAGTTTGCGCAGGGTGCGGCCCGGCCTGGCCAAACGCTGCCGACGACCATCACGTTCGGGATTGGGGCGATCGCAGGGCTGGTGACGGTTTACACGACGATGCCTTTAGAGTGTGTCCCATGTTTTTTTTTTGGTGACTCGTATTGAGGCTGTCGTCAGCGTGATCAAGACGCGGATGCAGACACTGGAGGCGCGGGCGCAGTACTCCAACTCGTTCCACTGCGCATACAGGATCTTTACGGAAGAAGGCATCCTCCGTTTCTGGACAGGAACAACGCCTCGTCTGACCCGACTTGTGGTATGTTTTTTCTTTGTAGCCGAGTGATCCAACTTCCAACGATCTGCAGCTCAGCGGCGGAATCGTATTCACAGTCTACGAGCAAGTGATCAGTGTTCTGGGCGGACGGCAGGAGACAAGCGTCTGAGATGTATTATCAGCATTAGAATACGTTATCTAGAACTCTACTACGACAATGGTGATGACGACAGATCAGGCTTGCCGGCAAGACTCTGGCTGCCTCCGAAGCGCCTGTACGCTGGATCATCCTTCTCCGTGGCTGGGTGAAGCTGCAGCTTTCCCTCCCACAACGCTGCTGAGGACGTGGATGGGTCAGATTGCGTGGGATCAGAAAGTGAGCCTGGCTGCGTCCAAGCGTGACTGGCGGCGATTGTGCCCATCATGAGCGTCGGCGCCATAGCAAGAAGAGAGCTGCAGGGAGAGTCAGAATTACCAACAATCGAGAGGAGAGTCAACGAAAAAGACATACACAGGTCGTTCTTTGTCCTGGCTTATCCTCGCAGGTCGGCTCTTGATAACAAACGAGGATGACCGGACACGCCCACCACGCAGGTTGGCGAAGGTGCTGAGGTTGTCTCTGACTTCGGTAAAGGCGTTCCAGCCCACATTGTCGGGACCAGTAGCCGTCGTCGGCAAAATGTCCTGTGCACGTCCGAGCAGGCCAAGTCGATCGAACACCTTTTCAAACGGCGCCGTCGGCAGCAGTCGGACGAAAACGCCCAGCGGGATGGAGACCACACCCAGGGCGAGCGAGATGCCCCACTCGCGGCCACCGATCCGAGTCACCTGGAACGCAGATCCACCGATGAAGACGATCAAGACCTGCACAGCGATTTCTGTGGCGATTGTGAGAAAACAAAGGACACGAAGGCACGATTCAACAACTCACCAATCAGCGTGATTACGATGAAATACCAGTTTCTCGACATGCCCTCGAAGATATTCAGCTTGCGATCGAGCCGTCGGCAGTTGACGGAATTGAAGATTTGTGCAAAAACAAACGTGTTGAAGACCAAGGTCTGCACGGTGAGATCGTTCGTTCGTGTGACAGAAGCAATGGACGACGCATGCAGCCCAAGGATTTGGTGGCCGAGGAAGTGGAAGATGAGGGTCACCACGGTCTGGTACGCGGACTGGAAGAAGATCTGCTTGTACATTTCCGTCGAGAACAGAGGCGCCGTCTTGTTGTCGGGCTTCCGGTCCAGCAGAGACTCAGACGCAGGGTCGGTCGCCAACGCCAGAGCAGCGAACGTATCCATGATGATGTTGATCCAAAGCAGCTGCACAGCGGACAGGACTGAAGACTCGGACGTCGAGGCAACAGCAGACACGAAGGTGATGATGACAGCAGTGATGTTCGTCGACACCTGGAACTGCAGGAACTTGCGCACCGCGTCGTTTACACACCGACCCCAGATGATCGCCTTCACAATCGACGCAAAGTTATCGTCCATGAGAATAATGTCCGACGCCTCTTTCGCAACTTCTGTGCCGGCAATGCCCATCGAGAAACCAACATTGGCCGTCTTCAGCGCGGGCCCGTCGTTCGTTCCATCCCCAGTCACACCGACGATCTCGCCCAGTTGCTTGAGAGTGTCGACCAGAACACGCTTGTCTTCAGGAGAAGAGCGAGCGAGAACTTGCAGCCGAGGCACAATCTCAATCTTCTCACTAGGCGTCAGATTCCGGAACACAGGGCCCTCCATGATCACTCCGCCGGGTGTAAAGATGCCACATTGGGTCGCGATCGAACGAGCCGTGAGCACATTGTCTCCAGTGCACATTTTCACCGTCACGCCCGCTTTATGGCATTTAGCCACAGCTTCGACCACCCCAGGCCGCAGCGGGTCCTCGATACCGACGATGCCAATCAGCGTCAGATCCTTCGCCAGCTCGTCGAACGGAATCTCGCCCTGGTCATCATGGTCGAGTCCTGGGGGCGGCCACGAGTCGAAATCCCGATAGCACAGTGCGATCGTCCGAAGCATCTGGTTGGCATAGAAAATGATGGTCCGTGAAATATTATCGTTCGCCAGTTCGTCGATCGGCCCCGTCTCGACTCCATCGCCAGAAAAGGCCCCGTCTTTGCTCACCACGACGTGCGATACACACCGTTTCGACAAAATCTCGCTTGCGCCTTTGAAGAACACCCGGATCCTTCCGCTGCGCGTCTTGACCACCACACCCATGGCCTTGCGCTCGCTCGAGAAGGGGATCATCTGCAGCACTGTTGCCGAATTGCGCGTCGTCTTAAAATCCGTCCAGCCCAGTTCCTGCGCAAACTGCAGAAGCGCGGTCTCGGTCTTACTCCCGACAAAGATGAGCTCGCCGGTCTCGGGGTCCTTGTCCTGGAAAGCAGTCGAGTTCACGGCAATCGCTTCGTTGAACAGCTCCCGAAGCTGGGGGCTGACGACAGTGTTGAGCTGGGACTGATCGAGCGAGAAGTCGTTCGGGTGTTTGCGCTCTCCGGTATTCTCCCGCGCACTGTTCTCTTCCAGGCGACGCACAAACTTGGCATTGATCCCGACCGACCCCGCCACAACCCTCATCACATTCTGGGTAAGGGTTCCGGTCTTGTCCGTGCAGATAACAGAAGCGTTAGCCATAATCTCGCAGGAGCCGAGGATCCGGACGAGAAGCTTTTCGTACGTCATGCGTTTCGTGGCGAATGCAAGAGCCAGCGTCACAGCGAGTGGCAGACCTTCGGGCACAGCAACCACCACGATAGTCACAGCGATAATGAGGATGTTCACAAAAGCGATGCCCTTCTGGTTTGCAGTCCTGTAGCTCTGATGAGGGAAGATCTCCAAGTCTGGGTGAAGAAATCTACCTGGGCGGGTTGTTCTGGCCGAGCTGCACAAAGAATCGGATCATCAGCGCCGTGAACAGGATGATACCGGCTGCAGCGCCTAATTTCGCGATCAATTCGGCAAGGGCGTTAAGTTTCGTTTGCAAAGGAGTGTTCTCGGCTTCTCCTCGCATAGCTGTGCCATTGCTTCAGTCTGAGATCGTTCCGCAACGGGGGAAGCACGCACCCATCATAATCCTACCGTTGAAACTCTTGGTGCCCACAGCCACCACAACATATCTGCCAACGCCCTCTAGAACCTTGCTGCCGCTCAGGAGGAAGCAGTCGGTATGCGCGGCTCCGTCGGTGCCCCGCAGCCGCATGCAATCGTCGTAGGAAAGTTTCTTTATCGCATCGGATTCGCCCGTGGCACCGGACTCGTCGCATTTCACGTTATGGCCGCTGAGGAACACGCCATCGCAAGGCAGGATCTCGCCTGGTTCGACGAGAGCGATGTCGCCGACAACGACTTGCTGTGCCACGAATCAGACTCAAACCCGCGTTTCAAGCTATTAATGAGAATACCTTGATGTCGATGAGCATCTCTTCACCGCCTCGTATCACCTTCACGCCGCGCTGTTCTTTCTTATCGTTGAGGGCCTTGAACTGCCGTTCCTTTTGCCAGTCATTAACGGATCCAACCACAACCTACACAGTCGTCAGACGCGGAAATGAATGCGTTCGGCAACGTACCACGATCACAATCGCCACCATGATGGCGACACCTTCAACCCAGTCAACCGGAGGCTGTCCTGCCGGCCTGGTCGTCCCGAAATCCTGGAACAGGCCCAATGCGAGCGAGACCACCGCGGCGATGGAGAGCAGAATCTGGTCTTTCGTTACCACATGCTCTGCCACAAAACGGAAATCACGTACGAGAACCTTATCCATAAGCGCAGCAAGCATGAGCGAGAGCAAAGATTTGCTCTTTCGCGAGGGAAGGACGTTCTGCCCGTACACCTGGTGGCGGATATCCATGGGCGCGGCGAATGCGGCACTTGAGTTCCAGTTCTCGGAGCGCTCGCCCTCGGGATCGGTGAGGGTGATCTCCGGCACTAGACCCTTCTCTGGATCATGACGTGGTGAAGCTCCATTGCCCGCGCCAGGCCGGCCGTCGCCAGATCCAAGGGACGCGTCGACCAGGCCAGTGAACTCGTTTGTAGCTAGCCCTTCCAGTAGCCCAGTTATGCCACCCATACTGGTCAGTTGGTCCAGATCCTTTGAGTCTGGCAGCATCGCCAACGCATTCGCATGAAATCTAAATGGTGCTGGATCGCCGTCAGCCTCAAGTGCTTGCATCTCTTCCTCATCGTCCTCATCAGAGCCCTCTGGTTTCGCCCGCCTGCCTCTCGCGGCTTCAGAATCAACCGTGCCGCGTTTAGCATGCGAGGCAGAAGGCGAGGGCACACGCGTCTCGCTCGTGGCATATGACTTTACCGAACGAAGGGCGTTCGGAGAATGGTCCGCCTCTGTCACGTCGCTTATTGTCGTGGCGTTGCTCGGCTTGCGTTGATGGGACAGTGGTGTATCGGGGGACAATAGCAGGCTCTGATTCCTGGGCTCGGGCTTGTTTTCGCGCAGAGACAGTGTCGTGTTCGGCTGAAAATGCACAGAAGAGTGATTGGAAAGGGTTGGGGAGGGCGGTGTCATGATGGAAGAACCATCGTCTGTGTGAGTGGGGGAGCTGGGAAGGACGTCTAGAGACCCGCGAGTGGCTACCGACGGAGTACGAGGAGACAAAAGGCCGTCCGAGGGGGAGAGGGCCTGAGCGGGGGATAAAGTGAGACGTGGGGGGGCATGGTCATCAGAGACGTCGAGCGAAAGGTCGGTAGTGACGATGGCGGGGATATTATGGTCGTCAGAGGGCATGATTGTAAAGAGGTGTGCCGTAACGAGACCCTGGGGGCTTTTATATCGTCCACAGCACTTGAATCAGCGCGAGCACTGCGAAATGAACCTCCACAGTAGAGGTAGCCGGGTAAGCTGAACCAGTATTTGTGCCTAAGAATTGTTTAACTTGTGCGGAAGGTTGATCAGCATAGCCCCCCCCAGCCCAAATCGGGCAACAAAGCTGTATATCCCCGATCGGGACAAATACGGCATCACGACCTTTTGCAAGCGAGGAGGCACCAGTTGTACTTTTCTTCTCTACCACTACAACATACAGGAGAATCCGCCCTATGCGCTGTCTGTGTCTCCAATCTTGCAGAACAAGCAATGGGCTTTTGAATTGAGCGGATGGGAGAGGGAACTGTGGAGCTCGAGCTGTCTGGACTAGGAGCACTTCTTCCGTTCCTATTGCTCCTCAACTGCTTAATAATCCTTTGTGTGTATCCCCTCATCTTGGCTGTGGTCTGTTCGCCGCAAATCACACTGGTCTATCTGGTATCGACTCAAGATGCAGTTGCAAATATTCGTTGGGTGATCGAATTGGGTGCTGCCAAGGGCCATGGCGGAGAGCAACGTCATCGCCTGGCTATTTGGTCCTCCCTACGAAACGACTGGAGCAGGCCTCCTTCTGCAGCACGTATCTCATGGACCTAGTTAACTGGACACCCTGCTTCCTTGCAGGATGTTACACCTAAATGAGAGTTCTCCACGTGGCCTCGCTATTATTTTCTTCTTCTGGAGCCGGGACAACTCCAGATCTTTACAGAAGGTGCTAGGCGCGCCGAGCGAAATTCTTCGCGATCCCTTCCGGATCCGGAAGAACCGAGCTTCGGCCCAGAGAAAAAAAAATCACGGAACACGCCGAGGCTCACAGAGCGTATTCCGCCGAGCGCCATTCTCCTGTCGGCTGTTCTCCACAGCTTTTGCTGTTGCTGCTGCAGTAATACAGCTTGGCAGCACGCGGACCCTTGCTTGATCTCGCGTGCTCGAGTTGCCGCTCAGGCTTTGCATTTCATCCATAGGTGATGTTGAAATTAGTATCCGCTGTTACAGTCTGCTCACCGGAAGCTAGTGTAGGCTATATATGCTACGTTCTCAAGCGCGGGATTTTCGCGGATCGATGGCTGGTCAATTGCTGGGCTTCATCCACGCTCGGACATTCCGATGACAAATTGACTGCAGCACACTTGAACGTAAAAATGCGAGATTGTCATCCTTATCTCGTGTTCATAGCTGCGTGCAACGCGTCGATCCGGCCGAACTCTGGACGCGTTGAGATGAGTCATGTGACCGCTTTGGCACCATGTGACGAGATGTGTCGACCGAGCTTGCGCGAGACAGGATACAGCATACCAGGAACATCCACTGCAACGAGGGCGGAAATGACAACAGCGCAGAGCTGTCTGTGGCGCCGGCTGCCGATTGTCCGTCCTTCATTCTCATCGGACCCATTGGTCCGGGGCCTGGGCTATGTACTCCGCAGTCCCGACGCCGACATCCCGCGCCTCACCTCGACTTTCTTGGCTGTCACCGCATTTCAGCTACGCTCCTCAAGGCCGTGGACCTGCATAGCACTTCTAGAGCACCTGCAAGCAGTGATCGTGCTCCGATGATATAGACCTGTGTAAACTCTATTTTACCTCGGGCCAGGGTCATCCTGTACTAAAGCACGCGCTTCTCATGTCGGACGGACCATTGGCTTGTGGCACAAAGCTGTAGAAGTCTCAGCCTGTCTCGATTCCTGTCCTGGCTCGTCATCGATCTCTCGGTGGCTGTAATTCAATTCTTGGTCCATTTCCGACTATCTTGATGCCAAACATCTGGTCCTAGCAAGCATTCCAAACAACCTGCATTTATATCCCTTGCCTGTCCTGCTCTGTCTGTGTCTGTTTCGCTCTCTATCTTTACAAACTTTCTTGATGCAATATCCACGAATCTGGCTTCTCCCACACCCGAACCATCTGAGAGCGGCTCTCCCTTCAAGCACTCCCTGAAACGCCACGCCGCGCACCGTGCGCAATCCATTTATCCTTATCTCAGGATAGGGCAACGAACCGAGTCTATGTCTCCATTCAGGTGCAATTAGATCAAGATCTTGTCGGGCAGCCGGTCGCAATATCAACTGCGGTATAATAGCTGCGTCTACAGCTTTCAAAAAAAGCATCCTTTCTCACCGGGTTACGCAGCAGACTCCAACTCAGTTCTGCTCCCGCACAGACATTTATAAATTGCGGTAGGCCTCACTTTCTGTCTTCACTTGACAGGGGGCGCATTTTAGATAAATGCGCACCGCGCGGCGCTCGTCACGGTGGAATCTAGCGCCACTGAAGCGAGCAGAATGTGAATATGTGAAAAAAGCCACAGTTTTGCCGGCCAAAACATGTGGTATCCAGCCTGCGTCGTCCTCTACAGCTTTCCTCCCTGACTGGGCTATCTTTGATGTGGAAGCGTATGTATCTAGGCCGCTTTCGCCAGAGATGCTGTCTTGACACCACCGGGGATCTGGCCGTGCTGTAAAGCTCCCACCACTCAGCAAACATGCTCTGCACCCTGACAGATTCGCCATTGTTGGAAGCAGCCCGAGTGCACTGTAGCCCAAGGATGCGTACTCACGGTTTCGGGAAAATCAGATCCCCCTTCGCGAACTGTCTCGCATACATTATCTGCTCTTCCCACATGTCCTGCTCGTACTCAGCAATCGAATATCCCCCCAGTTCATTTACGGCGCGTGGAGAGTCAGACGCGCCCACGTGACTCACATGCCACCACATGCTCAAACTTCCGCACCAGAGAATGAAGCAACCCGGAAAAATTCGTTTATACTCCCCATAGGCCCAGATGTACATGGTCCATAGTTACAGATAATACATTTCTCTATCTAAACTTCGGCTCACACGGCAACGGGTGTATTGACCACCGAACCAGCTACGATGTCGCTGCCGGCGCCGATGGCATCACCGCGGGCACTCAGATGAGCCACCTGGCCATCATTCTCGAGATCACCGACCTCGATGCGCCCCATCTCCTTGATGAAACTGCTTCCCCAGAACGCGGCGCTATACTTGTTGACGTATTTGAACAACTTGCGGTGGTTCTCGGCTCGCGTGGCTGCGTCCATCGTCACGGCTTCGTGGATGGCATCTGCGACTTGCTGCGAGTCCCAGGGATTCACGATGAGCGATCCGTTGAGACTCTGCGCAGCGCCGGCGAACTCGGAGAGGATCATGACACCCTGTCGGGCCTGCTGGCAGGCGATGTACTCGTAGGAGACCTGAGAAAAGAGAGAGCAGGAAAATGAGCCCCAGACGTCGCAATCCAACTCGAACAGACTCACCAAGTTCATTCCATCACGTGTGCTCGACACCAGGCAGACGTCGCTCACGGCATACAGCGCACACAACTCGTCGAACGCCAGGCTTTTGTGCATGAAATGGATCGGCATAAATTCGACTGTCCCGAACCGCCCGTTGATCCGGCCGACGAGCTCGTTTACAGTCGATCGCAGGTTCTGGTACTCCTCGACATCTTGCCGCGAAGGCACAGCAAGTTGCACGAGCACCACCTTGCCGATCCACTCCGGATGCTGGGTCAGGAACAGCTCCAGCGCATGCAGTTTCTGGGGCACCCCTTTGATGTAGTCCAGCCGGTCCACGCCGACGATGACCTTGACACCGCTGAACCGAGATTCAAGTTGTCGTATCCGGGACTTGACACCCTCCTTTTGCAGGTTCTGTGACGGAGATGCGTCAGTGGAACAGGGATCGAAGCGCATAGACAAACGGACCTCAATGAACGAATTTGGCTCAATCCCAATCGGGAAGGTGCCCACATGAGCCAGTCGCCCCTCGAACTCGACTCCATTCGGCATAGTGGGGAGAGCAAGAATGCGCGTGCAGGACGATAAGAAGTGCCGAGCATAATCGTACGTGTGGAAGCCGATGAGATCGCAGTACAGAATACCGAGCAGAATCTCGCGTCGAACCGGAAGGATCCTACCCTGAGATCAGACAACACCAACAGAGACGCGACCACGAAAGGCACACACCGGTAGATTTCGCTGCTGGGGAACGGGGTGTGCAGGAAGAAGCCGATCTTCACGCCAGGGACGCTGGGTGAGGGCTTCGCCGACGTGTCGTCGATGGATATTCCCTCTGTGATGTTCGCCAATTCGCGGGCCGTCGAATCCGCGCTCAGGTCAGCCCCGTCCAATAATCGCCGAAGAATCATGGGCAGAAGCATGAGGTGGTAGTCTTGCACCCACACCATCGCACCCGGGGTGATCTGCGTGCGCACCACCTCTGCGAACTGGAGATTCGCCTGGCGGTACGCGAGCCAGTTCTCCTCGTCAAAGTTCATCTCGCCCGGGTGGTAGTGGAAGAGCGGCCATAGTATGGAGTTGGAGAAGCCGTTATAATGCCGGTCGGCGACTTCGTCGTCTAGGTACACAGCCTGGCAGGAGTACTCCTCCATAAGCCGCTTATCGACGAGCGGTCGATCTTTCAGTGGGATGTAAAACCCAGGCCATCCGATCCAGGTGAAGCTGAGGGACTTCTTGAAGCCGGAGAGCGCCGACACTAGTCCGCCGGAGGACATTTTGAAGTGGTATTCGCCCGCCGCATCTTTGGTTATCGTAACGGGCAGTCGATTGGAGACAACGATGAGATGTGCGCCATTTCCGAACATGTCTGGGGACGGCGACCGGGGAGAAGACGGCTCCATGCTCGCTGACAAGAGGATGCTTAAATAGCGCAGAGGTTAGAGTGTGAGAAGGGAGGATTATCGGATCCTGACGGAACGATATGTGAACGTTGTAACCTGAAAGTAACACTACGAGCAGATGAAGTCATCGACGTCGCCTAATCGGGCTCCCAACAAAATCGATCATGGCTCGGAGTATCCTCGCTTACAGGAAGACCCGACGTTCGAAATTCAAAGATGGCTTTTGGCGTTCGAAGAAAGATACACGTCGACTACTACATTGCACCCTTAGTCGAAGAGACCGAAGCCCATGTCCTCGTCAGACTCTTCTTCCTCGGCAGCGGGCTTCTCCTCAGCCTTGGTCTCGGCAGCAGCCGGCGCCGACGATGAAGTGGGGGCAGCTTCGGCAACGGCAAAGGCCTCGGGATTGGCGAGATACTCCTTAACCTGAGGAAGATGGTCAATACCCGGAACAGAAGCGGGAAAAAGAGTCATAAATGGGTAAAATGAATTCGACAAGGCATCGACGATGCTCAGAATTTTCAGTGTGTATTTGTGTGATAATCCTACGAAGTCACAAATGGAGACAAGGCTCACCTTCTCGGCACCTTCGAAGGTGTACTCCGTGGCCAGAGAAATTGCCAGGAGATTCTTGTACGCGTTGACCAAGCTGTGCGAGACAGAGACGATGGTCGGGTAGGAGAGCGCGAGCGAGATGCAAGCGATGGTCTTAATACCACTCATGAAGCGGTCAATGAGGACCGACTCGTCGATGTCAAGGACCTCCGGCGCGAACACATTTCCGCCGTCGAAGATCTGGACGACAGTCATACCGTACGTGAACGGAGAGATGTTCAACATGTTGAGGAGAGTGGCCTCGGAAGTTCCGACACGCGAGCCAGCAACGACGACCTTGACATCGGACACGATTTCGATGGTACCACGGGCGATCTTGGTGGGGATACCGAGGGCCTGGAAGAAGGAGGTCTTTCCGGGTTCCATACCAGTGTTTCCGGCAGGGACAGTGACGTCCATAGGAGCGTAGGCACCAGCACGAGCAGGAGCGGCGACCTTGTTGGCAACGATAACTTCACGAATCTCCTTCAAGTCGCCAGAAGTGAAAACGAAGCCAATGTTCCCCTTGACGTGGGGAAGAAGACGCTCGAACTGGGGGCTGTCGGCGAGGATGGTGCGGAGAGCACGGCGGACCATGGTGTTCTTGCCCATCAGGACGACACCCTTGCCGCGGAGGGCAACACGGATCTGATGCATCTGGTTCGAGCCCACATTGTCAACGTTGACGATGAAGATAGAGGCTATGAACAGTTCAGTCGCAAACCACCTCGAAAAGTAAGAAACGTACGGTATTTAGCCAAAAGCTCCTTGAGCTTTTCGAAATAGAGTTCCTTGTCAGCGCGGCTTGCACCCATTGCTAATTTTCGTTGATGGTGAAGGTTGGATTAGTGGGTAACTAGTGCCTCCCTATTGACCTCTGCAGAAGATGAGCACAACAAATGGAAATCGCGGTATTGACTTGCCTGTGTGTCAAAGGATGTTTCAAGGACAACTGGTTGAGAGCAAAAACGCGAGTTAATCTGATCGAATGCGCGATTCTGGGAAAAACTGCATAGGTGACACGTGACGTCATCAAGGTCATGATTTCAAGCCGGAGCGGAGGCGTTCATTTCTTCAATACATTCATCCGGTACTTGTACATGGTACATATGCAAACATCATCTGAGACTTGTCTCAACACATCTCTTGCTCACGACATCCAAGACTATGATAATTGAGCATAATGGATGTAATGCTCTAGCGAGCCCCGTTGTCTGTGTCACTCATGAATTCAGAGCCATTTTCAACGACAATACACTTCTCAATGCCATGTAGCACGATGTCAGGAGTTGATGGTCTATTTGAACGGTTGAACCAGCGTATGGTGGGGGACATCACTTCGTGACAAGTGATTCCATCAATCCTTGCCGTGCATATAGTGACCCTCAGTCAACATGAATTTTCTTCAAACCTTGTAAATAGATAGCTATTGAGATGTACTTTCAATCCCATGGATTAGATTTTCAAAATTATGACCTGGCAAAATTTGGCCTCAGATTTGGCCGTCCCAAAAAGGAAATTGCGTGATCGCTGTGCTCGGCAGTGACCAAGGCCCTTCTGGGATCTTCCGAAACTCATTTCACTACCATGGCACCCCAAAAGAGAGGCACCCGCCGTGCCCAAGATACTGCCGGACACTTCACACATTAACACACCGCCCTCCAATTACCTACAAAAGGTCGAGTCTTGGGCGTGAATTTGGCCATTTAGCCGAGAATTTTTTCCCACGATCTAAAACTTCGGATTCGGCCCACTCTTGGGTATTTCATGAAGATCTGGCTAGGTTTCGACCCGAAATTCCCAAAATTGCGATGTGACATCAAGTCATGTCCCCCACCATACAAAGCTTTGATCAAATCATGATACCGGGCAGAAGCCGACTGGCTTGATGTGACCATGTGACGCGTTTGTCGCGTGTGCTTTTCTAGTTCTACTCACTTCGTCGTCCGGTGGTGCTGGCACGTTTGTTGGAACACGCGTCAGCCCATTGACTCCGATTTCGGCTTGTTCGAAGTAGACGGTCGTCTCCATTTCTCGTCTCCATCTTCTGCAATGGAATGTTGCGATGCTGTTGGCGGCCCATCCTCCAACTGGGCCGCCCAAGTCATGCCCGACGTAATCTGGTTCAGGGTCGGGGCACCTTGACTTCGCTTGCCAAACTCCACGCCTTTTTATCCCCAGCAAACCTCACGTCCGCTGAGCCTGTCACTTATGCACCCAAAGATTTGTGCAAGCTATACCTCGACGTCAAAGCGCTTCCTCCGCGCTCACAAGGACACCCCTTGACCCTTCATGAACTGCAAGAGCTCATTGTACTTTTCGGGTCTCTCTCCATCCCCTCGCCTCAGCCTAAAACCACCTACATTCACACTATCGCTCCCTCTCTACCCTCGGCACCATTCCGCACGTACTGGCATCTGGTTCTCGAGTTGTGGGACCAGTATGTACTTCGTGATAATCGCCGTGCACGCTCTGGCACTGTCGAATATTGGGTTATGCGGGCACACCTTGCCTACATGGAAGCAGAACCCAACTCTTCGGGTAAGCCCTCCGTGACGAATAATCTCACCTGTTCACGGTTGAAACAGATGAACACGCTTCACACGCCGTCTCACGCTACACCTACATTCGAAATAGTCCCGACCCCCACGTTCATCTACCCTACTTCAGCATCATGCTCGAGCACCATCGCTCCGCTCTTTCACGCACAGTGAAGCAGTTGTGTCGATACCTTTCACAAAACCCCGCGCCCGATCGCCGGGTTGTGGAACTAGTGTGGGCTCTCGCTCTGGGAAGATACGGTGCTTTACCACCCGCGGCAGAAGGCCATATTTTCTCGATGATCTCCACGCGTTTGACGCGGCTTTCCGGATCTTTGTCGCTGTCTCAGACGACATACCAAAATCCAGTCACTGTGGGGCAGCTTTGCGAGGCGTTTATTGGAGCTATTTTCGGCGTGTCCCAGCCGTCCCTTCCTACCGATATCGCCGACCGCGCAACTTGCGAAGTGCAGGGGGCTTTTGATGCATCGGTCTCGATCAGCTCTCGTCGGAAGCACCTGATGCTGCTGGCCCTCTACGCGTCTGCGAAATCTTTAGGCAACAATGAGATTCCAGCTCATCCCAAAGACGAAGAGGACGAGAGTAGATGCGTTCTATGGTGCACTTCACTCCCGTTGGCCATCCTAGAGCGTATCCCCACAGAAGCAGTGCCGTCTAATGCTGTTCGACAATTATGGCAAATGTGGAAGGGTGCTGGTTTGCTCCTGCCTCCCGCAATCCACATAACAACTGTGTCATCTTTTCTGAGATTGGCCACGAAGACGCGGGACCTGCCTCTAGTTAATGCATGCAGGAATCATTGCATCACCCTTGCGATATGGAGTGAAGAACAGAGCGATGTGCAGTCTATAGGAATGTTCGTGGACTACGCCTTGGCCCTCGTAGCCACCAGGGCCTCGGTGTCATGGGCACAGGTCTTTTCTGTACTGCCTGAAAGTGACGCCTTGCGCAAGCAGGTCGCCGAAACACTCATTGGCTGTCTTTTGCCCCACCATGTCGACAGTGTTCGTGACCTGCACGAATTCCTCCAGCAAGAAGGCATTGAACTCCCTGCGGCTTCTGTGCTTCGATTCCAACTGGAGATGGCGAAGCATGCAGACACTACCGGGGTCGCTATTCAAGGTCTAGCGCAACTAAGCCCGGAGCATCAGCAGTCCGTCCTCCACACCATTCTCCGCACCCTTAGACGACAGCATCAGACTCGAATGGAATCTTCCCTGGCATTGCAGTTGGGAACCGCACTGATAAGCTCGTTCGATGTTCCAAATTTTACTCCGGAAGAACCTTCTCTCCTCCATGCACTGCTGGTACTCGCTGCTTCTCAACAAGGTCCTCGGGCGGTGAAGCTTGTGCGTATACAGCGGGACAGAAACCTGTCGTCTCTGAGCATGCGATACATGCTGCGGATGATGAGGGTGTTGACTAGGTATCACCCGTCAGCCGCGATTTCGCTTTTGGACGTAATCGAGCACTTGCCACCGGTGGATCGCATCGAATTTCGACGGAAACTGGTGCTGCGGTTGGCGCAGCGTGGTGCGCATGCACTGGCGCGGAGGATTTACGACAGTGGCGACTCAGTCGGCGGTCGAGAAGCTCTTGCCCGTCTCGATGGCTTTCGGGTGAACGTTCGCTGGCGCCGTTCCCGAGCGGCCGTGCGAGCAGTTCTGCGGATTGTTGCTGCGAGACGTTCTCACTGGAAAGAGGCCGTAGGCACGCTTTGCCGTCTCGGAGCTCTGGGTGCAGCTTCAGTCGTTGCTCGCAGGGCGGCAAATGTCGGAATGGATCTGGAGGCGAGGACCTGGATGGGGAACACGATTTTGAATGCAGCTCTGCATATGTGGCCGTCAGAACAGAACGATGAGCTCTACCGGCATTTACAAGCAAGATCCGCTCGGTTGGCGCACACCGTAGGCTTTGTTGGCGACCGCGTGACGATGAACATCATGCTCAAGGCCATTCTCCATCGCAACTCGTTGATGACCGGGCCCCATATTCGTGAGCTGTTTGACCATGTCGTTCGGTCGGGATATCCGGCCGCGGATAGATGGAGACGGGAGAACAACGTACCATTTGGGTCGAAGCCGAGTCGTGTTGTGGGGTCTGAAACTCTCGACTCTGTGCAACCCTCCTCGGCCATTGTATTTGAACGGCACGTTCGGCCATTGTACAGGTCATTCATCAAGGCACTTCACCTTCGAGGGGATCACTTTGGGGCGAGGACTATCATTGGCATCCTGGATGACGAGCAGCATGATGTACTGGCCCGACGTCGGGAGCAGAGGTGATTCGCGACTCGTGCCCGTCACTAGAACGTAGAAAAGTAGAGCTAGTAGCATCACATAGTATATTAGTGGGCAAAAAAGAAAGCTACGAGTGTTGATTCGTGTTGACCGGAAATAGTGGCTGGAACCAGTCATACTTTCAGACTCAACTTTCATGAGTGCTACCAAGAGGAAATTGAGTGACGCCTTTGTCTCTCTTGATCAGGCTGTGGAGCCTGCCCCACCGCTCAAACGGCAGAACACAGTCCGATCTCTCTATTCGACGTTGGCCAAGTACGGGGTGAAATCCAAACCATCACCGAATCCGCGCGCGTCCTCCCTATCCCGAAGTACACCTCATCTCACGGCTATTCTCAACCGTGCTGCTACCAAGACCCGCAAAGCCCTGCCCAAATTTCTCTCGAGCGCCTCGGCACCACCCCTCCACCCGACGGCAGAATACCGGCCCTCTTCACTCAACTCTTTCCTCGCGCGCCTAGAAACCTTCAAACTGTCCACCTATGCGAACAAACCAGAACGGATCAACCATGTTGCTGCTGCGAAGTGTGGGTGGGTAAATGAGGGAAAGGATCGCTTGGTCTGCGGGTTGTGTGGCGTGTCTTGGGTCGTCGGTGGGCGAGAGGGCATGTCGAAAGATGCCGGTGCGTGTATCTATCATCGTATATGAGCAGAAGATTCAGTTTGATTCAGCGAATGCTCTGGTAGAGAAACAACGTGTATCACTGGTCGAGCAACATAAGGCTGGCTGTCCATGGAGAACGCGTCAATGTGACCGTGCGTGTTTCGCCACCTGTCCATCTTACAAACTTCAGACGCTGACATTCTGGTATTGCAGCGGACGTCTACCAAATTCCCCTGAAATCCCCGAGTGCTATGGTCAGAGATCTGAAAAAGAGCGCACGTGCCCTCGAGGCAGTCATGGATCGTGTCCAAGTCAAACACACGCTGGTAAGTGTCGTCGGTTTGCTCGGAATTGATTTGACCTCGTCTCCGGCAGACCCCCAGCCAATTGACGGCATTACGATCCACCGTAGAAGCATTCGTAGATCCTTCCACCACCGAAGACGACAAGCCGGAGGATGACACCCCGGCTTCCGAGCCGTCCGAGACGACTATTTTGGCCGCTTTCTTCGGTTGGGCACCAGCACCTGTCTCATCTGACCGTCCTCGAACACTCTCGGCTTCTCGGACGCCGTCTCGGACGCCATCTCGGACGGTTTCTCGTGCCAATTCTCCTCTCCCGTCGTCGTTGCCTCAGAATGCCAGCTTCACCTTCAGGGTATCGACACCTTCACCTTTATCTCGAAGCTCGGAACCTCGTACACCTCCACGCGAATATCTGCGCAGGATATCTGGTGGAGTGACGGCTTCCTTGACCACGAACAAGCGTGACAACCCGCTGGTGCATTGCAAATATTGCCAGGTATGAACACAGTAGCATTTCTTTCGCGACGCGACTAACGTCGGGACAGCGAACCATCGGATTATGGGCTTTCTTGCTGCCAGAGGAGCCAACAAGCCCCAGCCCATCGGACTCGGAGCGTCCGCGACATGCGTTGCCGCCCAGACAGTTCGATCTACTGAAAGAGCACCGGCCGACGTGTCCTTTCATTGCACGATCAAGCACGCTGCCGATGCTCCCGAATGAGTCCACCTCGTCCCTCGCATCTTCAAGTGAAATCGAGGGTTGGCGAGTTATATTGACTGTCATTCTCCGCTATGGTCAAGGCCAGCGCCAGCGCACGCGGAGAAGGACTGTCGTGGGCGACAGGCTCGAAACGCAAATGGAGGTTGAAGACGAAGAAGCTGTCGTGGACAATGTCGAAGCCATGGTCACTGCAGCCAAAACACGCGGGCCGAACGGCGTTCTCAGTTACATGAAGGGAATTCTGGGTTGATCTGCGATCTTATCTGCTTTGTTTGTTATCGTGTATGGTTTCGGCTCCTATATGATGACTGGATACGGAATCTACTTTGCTTTCGGTCTCTCATGGCGGCCTCCATCTACCCATCCAAACACCATTTCGCGTCCGACTTCGTGGTGTCTGCTGGATGCATACTGTTCCGAAAAGAGAGCTCGGTGCTCCAGATATGTGTCCTCCACGACATCAGGACAAACAATTGGTTGCTACCTAAAGGGCGCAAGGACACTGGGGAGGCCATTGAACACGCCGCAGTCCGAGAAACGTTCGAGGAAACAGGATATCCATGCACTCTACTGCCCTGCAAGATGCAGACACGCACGCCCCAGCAGGGAGTCAACCAAGTCGAGGGTGTGAGTGTCCAGGACGGCATCACTGAACCGTTTGCAGTCACTGTTCGGGACAGAGGCAGCGCAGGGACTAAATTCATATGGTGGTACATTGCTCGGACCACGGGCCAAGACAAAGTCCTCGGAACACAAACTGCGACAGAGCTTTTCGAGTCTCATTTCGTTCCAGCCGACGAGGCCATTGGACGCCTGACGTTCGCCAACGACCGAGATCTGGCCCGAAAAGCGCTCGAAATAGTCCGGGATGGGAATGGGGAAGGGCTTTGAGAGAGAAAGAAACGCACTGGTCACCACCATCCTGTACTCTTCTCTTTGTGCGCGCTGGGTCCTGCGATAGGATATCCAGGTATCTTGATCGTTGCGCCCCGTTTGAGTTGGTCTGCTTCCCATTCCATGTCATCCAGATAACGATCGATAGCCATCCCCTCGATCTTCGAAGTTGAAGTCGTGCCCAGTTCCTTCTGCTTTAGAACGAATGCGTCTTCTTCATCCGAGGGCACGCCGTCCACCAAGGCTACATACGCATCTGCGACGCGCCAGTCTATCTCTTTCGTCAGGGTCTGTAGACGCTTGGCCGCCCGTTCGCGAGTTCGCCTGACCTCACGGGCATGTACTTCCGCAGGGTTCGGTGCGGTGTCGAATGGCTGTAGCTTGGCCTGTGCGGACGGCGGAAGATCTAGGAAGATCCGGGTGTGAAGGATGTGAGGCGTTGTGGTGAGTGTGCTCGGGGGGAGTTTGTTCAGGCGGCAGAGCTCGCGTCCCTGAACAGTTGATGAGTTCATGTGAACAAATCTGGCCGTAGAAAGCGTACATCTACACTGAGACGCAGTGCGATTCCCTGTAAAGTGTCTCCTTTCTTGATGTAATACTTCGAGGACGAGGAGATGGGTGTCGTCGATGACGTCGTCGGTGGAGAAGGATGGGCTGTGGGGAGCTCGGCTCCATCTTCGTCCTCCGAATCATCATCTCCAAGCACATAGTTGTCTTCGTCTCGGACAGCTCCATCGAAGTTCACAACGGCTGAGTCCACCGGCTTCGCCGAAACGACACCGATGCCGCCAAGACACGCGAGGCACGGCTGATAGCGAACCAAACGCGGGTTGTTCAAGATGCATGAGGGGCAAATGGGGAGGTTGCAACATGAGGTCCGGAAAAGATCTGTAGGTTTGGGGGGAAGGGAAGAACAACAGGCTAAGCAGAGTTCGGAAGTACTCATTGTGGTGGTCGGAAGTAAGTTAATCAAATTAGTGTCCATCGAGGATCTGGATCACGTGGCTACATCCATCTTGCGCGCCGCGTTTACGATGTCCACCCCGGATGAAATCGCAGCCCAACGAATCTACGGCCCAAACGTGCTATTCAACTCCTCTATTCTTAGCGTCAAATTTCTATCCGCCTGCTTCGCGGGAGCTTTCGCAGGGATCCTTGGACTCACAAATTGGACTGGCTTCGGACTGTTCCTGTTCTCGACGGTCTTCACCACTTTTGTGATATCGTTTGTGAACTGCGGCGGGAAACCGGAGAAATTTATACCTGGAGGGTGGTGGGGGCTTTTCAACCCTGGTCAGGACAACGTGTCCACTTTCATCCTGGTGTGGACGTTGTTCTATGGTTAGTTCCTCCAAGTAAACGCAGAACAGATTCTGACCACGGCCACAGGGATCGTGCATGGTATGTTACGTCCGAAACGTTTCGCACTAGTAGTCTCATTTTCCATGCAGTGTATGACTAGAAGCCGGCATCAACCATGGAAATAGTAGAGGACAGATTGCAAACGACATTTCAGGCAGGATTAGGGCACAGTAATTGATTCTTGGACAGTTGAATGACCACTTGGAAACGATCTATCTATCGAATATCTAGGAGGGAACATTGACCGTGTTGAACGTTGAACGACCCGTCCATTTCATCAATAGCATTTACCAAATTCGAGTCTCGAGCAGGAGGTCGCTGCTGCCCTCGAGCCCAATGCAGGCCTTAAGGAAGCTCTCAAGCGCATTGCGCTGACGGTTGAGGCTGTTCACAACTTCAGTGCCAGGCTTGACCAACGGCGCCTTGAGCATGTACGAAAGCAAGGAGAGCACCGCATACAACGGCGCAAATTCCTTCTCCGAAGCCTTTCGGTACTTCACACGGGTGAGCAACTCGGTGAGGATGGTCAGGTCGAGGATCAACGGAGTGGCGAGCAGCGAGTCCTAATTGCTGGCGTAAGCCAAGGTCATGCATGATTATAAAATCAAGATCATACCTCGCACTCATTGAAGATGTTGATGGTAGAACGACCACCACAGAAAATCTCGGAGTAGTACTCGTCGATCGCCCGCTTACTGTCACCGACAGCAGGGACGTACTTGATGACGACCTAGAGAGAGTTGAGTAATGTGGAGAGGGATACAGCCTTGACGAACGTACGATGTGATCGGGGTGCTCGCCCTTGCCCTTGGTCTCGGGTTCGGGGGCCTTGAAGAGCAGCCGGTTGGCAGCAACCATGTCATCGACCACACTGCTTTTGCTGATCTCCTTGCTCTTGAACTGGCGCTCGGCCGACAAGTTGTGGCCGTCGTTGTTACCGAGATGGTTGTACGAGGCGATCGAAAGAGGTTTGAGGCCTGCGTTCACCAAAAACTCGGCCAGTACTGACT